AAACCCTAAACCCTCAAACCCAAACCCTAAATCCTAAACCGTATACACTAAGCCGTAAACCCTATATACACTAAACCCTAAACCCTAGACACTAAACCCTAAACCCTAAGCAGTATATAGCAAACCCTAAACCCTAAACCCTAAACCCTGAGAAAGTAGCAGACGTCCGGGAAGCGGCGGCAAGGGCGCGAAGCAAAACAAAATTTGTGCTGCTGCTGCTGCTGCTGCAGCTGCTGCAGCAGCAGCAGAGACAGCTGTCACACTCGATGGAAGGCTAGGCTGCTGCTGCTGCTGCTGCTGCTGCTGTTGCTGCTGCTGGTATCCGTGTTGCTGCTGCTGCTGAGGGGCAGCTCGCGCAGCCGCATGCCTTGAGCAGCAGCAAGACAACACATCTGCTGCTGCAGCTGCTGCTCCCGCTGCTGTATAGCCAACACCTGTGCTGTCACTGCTGCTGTCAGGCGAACTAGTGAAGGAACATCTGCAGCAGCAACAGCAGCAGCAGCAGCAGCAGCAGCAGCAACAGCAGCAGCAGCAGCAGCAGGGAGCTGTTAAAAGCGGATCGGTACTAATCACACACTGTGACAGCAGCAGCAAGCGCAGCAGCAGCAACAGCAGCAAACGCAGCAGCAGCAGCAGCAGCAACAGCAACAACACCCGCAACGGCAGCAGCAGCAGCAGCAACACCAGCAGCAACAACAGCAGCAGCAGCAACACCAGCAGCAACAATAGCAGCAGCAGCAACAGCAGCAGCAACAACAGCAGCTTGCCTGTCTGTTTAGAATCTGCTGCTGCTGCTGCTGCTTCCTGCTGCAGCAGCAGGGGAGCGATAGGAGATAGCAGCTGAGAAGGCAGCAGCTGCAGCAGCAGCGCGTGATGAGGCAAAGACAACGCCAGCTGCTGCCGGCGGAGTGCAGCAGCAGCAGCAGCAAGCAGAGCAGCAACTTTGCTGCAGCGTCGCTTCAACTCCTCCTGCAGCAGCAGCAGCAGCAGCAGCAGCAGCAACAAAAATAGCAGCAAATGATGCTACACTGGCACTGCAGCAGCAGTAGATAATGCAGCAACAGCAGGGGCAGCAGCAGCAGCAGCAGCATCAGGTGCAGCACAAGCAGCAGCAGCAGCAGCAGCAGCAGCAGGCATTTCAGCAGCAGTAGTTGAGTAGCAGCAGCAGCAGCAGCAGCAGCAGCAGCAGCAGAGACGACTTGCCGATTGTATTTCGAGTTGCTCCATCTTTTGCTGCTGCAGTTGCTGCTGCTGCTGCATGCGTTCTGCTTCGTCTGCCTGCAGCAGCAGCTGCTGCTGCAGCACCGCTGCTCTGCGCTGCAGCAGCAACGGTGCCGTTTGCTGCAGCAGCAGCAGCTGCTGCCGCTCCTCTTTTAGGAATGTCGACTCAGCTGTGTCTATCCATTGAACAGCAGCAACAGCAACTTCTGCTGCTGCTGCTGCTGCTGCTCTCCGTGCCTTCCTGCTGCTGCTGCTGCTGCTGCTGTTCGGTGCTGCTGCTGCAGCTGCTTCTGCTGCTGCTGCTGCTTTTGCTGCTGCTATGCGCTGCCGACGCAGCTCCAGCAGCCCCTGCTTCTGCTGCTGGTACGCTGCGGTGACAGCAGCAGCAGCCTGCGTGCTGATCTGCGACTGCTGCTGCTGCTGCTGCTGTTGCTGCTGCTGCTGTCCGCTGCTGCTGCTGCAGCTGTTTATAGACGATGATGTGTCAGCAGCAGCAGCAGCGTCTAAGTCTAGTACAAGCAGTGCAGCAGCATCGGTTGCTGTCTTTGTTTCTGCTGCTGTTGCTGCTGTTGTTGCTGCTCCTGCTGCTGTTGCTGCTGCTGCTGCTGCTGCTGCTGCTGCTGGTGGTGCAGCAGCAGCAACAGCAACCAGCAGCTGCTGCGATGAGTAATGCGGGAAATTTTGCGGCAGAAATTTCGAGGCAGCAGCAAAGGGGAGAGCAGCAACTGACATGCACACTCTTTGTCCTTGCTGCTGCTGCTGCTGCTGCTGCTGCTGCTGCTGCTGTTGCTGCTGCTGCTTCTGCTGCACAGGGGAGAAGATGCCCTTTACATCCACGCGGAAGGCGCCGTTGCTGCAGCAGACGAGTGCGCAGCAGCAGCTGCTGCTGCTGCTGCTGTTGCTGCTGCTGCTGTTGCTGCTGCTGCTGCTGCTGCTGCTGCTAGGCAAGGCAGGGAAAGGGCGCAGCTCCAGCGAGTTGCTGCTGCTGACCAGTGGTCCTTCCGCAGAAGCAAGCGACACGAAAGACAGGCATTGCTGCTGCTGCTGCTGCTGCTGCCGCTGCTGCTGCTGCTGCTGCTGCTGCTGCTGCCCCAGTGAGACTTTCTTCTGCAGGCGTGGCTGCACCGTGTCTGCGCTTGCGAGGCATTCCAGCTGTAGCTTGCTGCTGCTGCTGCTGCTGCTGCTGCTGCAGCGCAGCAGCAGCAGCAGCGGGGATGTACTGATTAGAATCTCCGCCTTTTGCTGCTGCTGTGCTGCAGCTGCCCGTGGTAGAGGAGGCAGCAACAGTCGCTGCGGCACTGGCTGTAGTGTGGTGCTGCTGCTGCTGCTGCTGCTGTTGCTGCTGCTGCTGCTGCTGCTGCTGTTGTTGTTGTTGCTGGTCCACTCGCTCAGCCACAAGGCAACTTCCGGCTGCTGCAGCGCATCTATGCAGCAAGCATTTTCTTCCTTAGCAGCAGCGTTGCTGCTGCTGCTGCTGCTGTTGCTGCTGCTGCTCCCCCCTTGCTGCTGCAGCAGCTCCTGCTGCAGTGTAGCATCGTGCAGCTGCAGCGCGAGGGCAGGCGGCAGCTGCGCTCGAGCTGGGAGAAAAGGAGAGAGGCAAAGACAGCTGCTGCTGCTGCTGCTGCTGCTGCTGCTGTTGCTGCTGCTGCTGCTGCTGGGTGGGTATGATACAAAGACAGCAACAGCAGACCAGAGGTGTATTCTCTCTGCTGCAGCACCAAAGTAGAAAGAAGAAGCCAGGGAGGATCGAGCAGCAGCAGCAGCAAAAGCAGGAGCTGCTGCTGCTGCTGCAGCAAACGGTGCTGCTGCTGCTGCTGCTGCTGCTGCTGAGTCTGCTGCTGCTGGCAGCAAAATTTCCTGCTCCGGTGTCTCCGTGCTGCAGCAGATATCGAACAGCCGCAGCACTGCATGCATGCTGCTATCATTTGCTGCTGCTGCTGCAGCTGCTGCTGCTAGAAACCCAGTTGCTGCTGCTCCTGCTGCTGCTCCTGCTGCTGTAGGGATAGACTCATGGGTGAGGACTGCAACAGCCCAGTCAGAGAAAGGGTGAAACGATGCATGCACAAAGACACGCTGCTGCTGCTGCTGCTGCTGCTGCTGCTGCTGCTGCATGCTGTTGCTCAGCAGCAAGAGTTTTCCATTGGTCTTGCGGCAGTAGTTGCTGCTGCTGGGCGCTCTAGGCATGCGCATATCCAGCTGCTGCTGCTGCTGCTGCTGTTGCTGCTGCTGCTGCTGCTGCTGCTGCTGCTGCAGTGGAGGCACCGCAGCAACACAGCATGCAGCTGAGCAGCAAACAGCAATTGCTTTGCCGCTGCTGCTGCAACAAATAAAATTAAATTTTTCTTTTTCGTCGACGTCATACCCGGGGACATACACCTCGAATACCCCCACTTCTTCTAGCTGCTGCTGCTGCTGCTGCTGCTGGTGCTGCTGCTGCTGCTGCTGCTGCAAGAGGTAGCAGCCAATCAGCACCGTTGAGCTGCTGTGCCCCCGCGTGCTGCTGCTGCTCTGCTGCAGCAGCCGGAAGACATGCAATGCTTGGCCTTCATCAGCAGCAGCTGCTGCTGCACCCGTGAAGCAGCAGCAAACCACATCGTCTTGCTGCTGCTGCTGCTGCAGTTGCTGCTGCTGCTGCTGCTGCTGCTTGGGGAATGTATATCTGCCTCTGAAGATAGCAGCAGACTTCTTTGCGGGGTTGGAGCTAAAGAGGAATGGCTTTACATGGCCATGCTGCTGCTGCTGCTGCTGCTGCTGCTGCTGTTGCTGCTGCTGCTGCAGTTGCTGCTGCTGCAGTTGCTGCTGCTGCTGCTGCTGTGGTTGCGCTGGAAACTGAAAAGGCGCCCCTCCAAAGAGCATCCCTAGCTTTGTGTTGCTGCTGCTGTTGCTGCTGCTGCTGCTGCTGCTGCTGCTGCTGCTGTTGCTGCTGCTGTCAGCAGCAGGAGCAGCAGTGGAGGCAGCAGACAGCCCGGGGGCGAAACCAAATATTCCCTTCATTGTCGCTGCACCTAAGCGATATATGCTGCTGCTGCTGCTGCTGCTGCTGCTGCTGCTGCTGCTGCTGCTTGCGTTGATGATGCTGCTGGTGTTGGCGTTGCTGCTGCCGCCGCAGGTGGCGCTGCTGCTGCCTTTGCTGCTGCAGTTGCTAGTGTTGTAGTTGCTGCTGCTGCTGCTGCTGCTGCAGCTACATAAGCAGCAGCAGGTGCAGCAGATAATGAGGGGTCTCTCACCCACCAGGGGGTTCGACTGTCGGCGGTCTCCCTGCTGCTGCTGCTGCTGCTGCTGTTGCTCCTGCTGCTGCTGCTGCAGCAACTGGGGCTGTTGTTAATATACACTTCAATGTTCTGCTGCGGAATGCGCTGCAGCAGCTGCTGCTGCTGCTGCTGCGCCTGCTGCTGCTGCTGCTGCTGCTGCTGCCACCAAGACACCCAGGGGCTGCGCTTTGGGGGCCCTAAGGAGGCCTCCTAATTGAGGTGTACGTACACCGCGTTTGCTGCTGAAGGCAGAGTTCAAGCTGGAAGATACAGCAGCAGCAGCAGCAGCAGCAGCAGCAGCAGCGGGAGCAGCAGCAGCAGCAGCCGATGCTGCGGGTGCTGCTGCAGCCCTGACGATGTAGTCGCCTCTGCTGCTGCTGCTGCTAC